AAAAGACCTAATATGGGGGAAAAGAAAGGAAAAATAACAAGGAAAAATGGAACAAAAATGGGACAAACAGTCACCAGAAGACAAGTCCCGCCTCAGCATCATTCTCATGAGAAAGGCAATCCCACAAAAGTCACAACATCTGCAGCTACACCTACTAGGAGAAAAGAAAGTCAGACTACAAAGGAGAGGCATATTTCTGCTGCAACTTCACCCACAAAAGTCACAAGGAGCTTTGTTCGTCCCGAACAAAAACAAAAGAAAAGAAAACAAGACTCGAGCATGGATATCGGCTTCATACAAGAAGAGCCTCAGAAATATTTAACTCAACCGGGTTGAATTCCAACGATTGTACGACCATATGCCTCAAATATCAACTTGGCCTCAAAATGACAAAATCTCAAATACTGAAATATTGGTACATGCCTCAGTCATTCTTTTAAATGAATATATGATAGGATCGCTCAGATTGGTCAATATTCAAGTTTCAACATATGCTTGCCAATCATTTAAGTTACTCAGAAACAATCAAAGCTCAAAAGTTGCGAATCAAGAGGACTTCACGGGATGTAATGAAGGCTTAAGGTAAAGGTAAGAATATATATAGACAAAGAAGCTCAGATAAACAATCAAAGTTCTCGAGTAATACACTACTCGAATGTCCGCTACTCATCCGAAATAACAATGTAGCACATTTACCATCCCCCAAACAACTCCAAAAACAACATCTAACTGCTCTAATCGATTTGCATCATTATTTGACCACTTTTTTATGTTTATTTTTTTTTATTTTTTTTGAAGAGTAACTTTTTCCGAACAACAATGAATCGAAAGGACAACGTTCTGTAGGTGTAAACATTGGAGATCATCCAAGTGTCCTATAGTAGTTTCCTAATGCTCATTACCCGTCAACGTGAATCGACTAGTAAGAGGAGCAGAATCCATTCGATTCGCCGTGTGAGCTCTTGTTTTTTTTTTTTTTTTTTTTTTTAACTGGTCAAGCAAACAAAATGCAACTCAATGACCACCATATTCAGAAATGCCACCAATCCCCCAATCATCACACAAATCAGTCAACAGGTTGACAAGAAAAGGTTTTAAGCTCAAACGGGCTACTAGTGGAATAAATTCAGGACCAAAGAATAAGGCAGAAGTGAGCTAATCAAACAAAACGCCTCAACCATATTCGCAATTTTAAACTCTAATCGATTCCTTTCAAACAAACTCAAGGCAAGTTCTAATCATTCAAGAATATGACCAATATCTCACAAGAAAGAAGAGTAAGGATCAAAACCTCACAAGGCAAATATATGTCACTCAAAGCAATCAAGCATATACCGAGGCAATGATCAACACAACCATCATCACAACTTTCCAATTTCATCAAACATTCATCAACAAATCCTATAATTCACCAATACCATGCTCAAAAACACAAAAACCTAAGACTATACCAGTTCACCACATAAGCATGCAGAATCCAAATGGACTCCCCCACACTTAAAATGAGGAAATGCCCTTATTGCTTCAACTCAAAACAGGGAGTCAAATAACGGACCTAGCAATTTCATATCATGAACCAATACTAGCAGCTAACACAAGAATAACAGACTCAAAAGAAAAGACAAGAGAAAGAACAACTCAAAAAGGATAAAAAGGAAAGGGTGTGCAAACCGAAAATGCCTCGAGGAGAATAAGCATCCACATACGAGCTACTCGCCCACGCACCGCTCTGGACCTCGATATTCGTCCTGCTCAAGCTCGCAAACTCGTACCTGCCAAGAAAAACACAGAAACTCCAAACTCCAATTATTAAAAGATGAAATAAAAAGCAAAAAGAAATAACTAAGAAAGCAGTAAATCACTTGGGTTGCCTCCCAAGAAGCGCTTGTTTAACGTCATTAGCTTGACGAAACCTGTGAGGAACTCAGCCAGGGTCCAAGAAAAAATGACGATCGTGCCACGCCTTCGTATTCTCGCGAAGTGGCAGTGCTGGCTCTAAGGCCAGAAGGCGGGCACTGTGGGCACAGGTGGCTATGTTCTTGATGTAGTGAGTCTGTTCACGAGCAACCCCCAATGTCTGCAACAGAGCCTTCCCCAACCGAGCTCCCTCGCCAACCTCGACAATCAAAGGCGCATCAATAGAGCAAATCGAAGAAAATACCATCACCTCTGGAAAGCAGTGCAGTGGCCTCGGAGGCGGATGCTCCAACTCAAAGGTTGGAGGAGGGTCTTGTGAATCGACCTCCTCCTCTAATGCATCGTATCCGGCTCGTGGGAGAATTTCATCCTCTTCGGCCTCACACATTTGTTGCAGAGTTCGAGCCTGAGGATCAAGCATGAGGTGTGGGTTGTCGACTTGTGCCTCTATCGAATCGAGACGTACAGTGAGGCTCTCTATTTGTGCGCTCAGCCGAGCACATCCGAGCTCCATCTCCTTTTCTTGGTTTGCTCGGGCCATCATCCAATCGAGGATGAGGTCGAGCTTGGCATTATACTCTGAGGAGTCGTCCTGGAGCTCATTTAGATGCTCGGGCATGGGATGTGGGTCCACAACCTCGAGCTTGTGGGCCTGGGACTTGTTTGTCCTGTTTTTGTTATCTTTTTCTTGATTGGTTTATAGGTTTTTAGCCCCCGGTTTAGGTCTTTTGATAGGATTTTCGGTCCTCGAGTTGTTGGTTTTGTGTAGTTATCATTATTCCTTTATTTTCATATTTTCGGTTGTTTCCTCTATTTTCGGGTGTTATTCTTGCTTTTGGAGGTGTGCAGGTTCGGGCTTTTGAGAAGAGTTCGAGTTTACTCAGTTTTACAAAGCACCTGTGAGCTTTCCTAATGCCACGCTAGAAGATCCCTTCCAGACCGCCGCGCCGGGCCTTCGCGCCGTGACACCCTTAACGGGCCTTCAGACGGACAAGTTTCTCTCCCGCGCCGCTACGTCTCCCGCGCCGCTACGTCTCCCGCGCCGCTACACTCCCCTGCTCCACGATGGATGCCACGCCGCGACAATCAGCACGAGCATACAGAGGCTCCAAGTCCTTCCAGCTCCCGCGCCGCTACGTCTCCCGCGCCGCTACGAGATTTCCGCCGCGCCGTGTCAAATCCCTAGCGCCGCTACGAACTTTCCCCTCCGCGCCGCGCCTGTGAGCCCCGCGCCGTGACAAAGTAGCACCTCGCGCCGCGGTGAAGCCTCGCGCCACGGCGCCTGATATTTTACGTCTTTTGAAATATTAATCTGATCGCTTAAAAATAGGATGGGGGAGGGTTTTCACAATTCATTCTGCACTTTTCTTTTCTCTCTCGTTTTTATCAGCAAAAAACTTGTTCTCTTTATCTTTGGCTTATTTTTGAGATTTTGGGAGTGACACCCAAGGATTTCATCGTGGATTGGATTGTGCTTGAGATTCACACTTTTTATTTATCTATCGTAAGTTTTCTTCTCATTTAACTATGAGTTTGGATTATTTACTGTATACAATACTTGGTGTTCATCTTGGCATGAGTGGCTAAATCTTTGAGCTAGGGATAGGGGATGATTACTCGTATTTGTGTGTTTGCCTTGCTCATGATTTTTGTTCGATCTATTCGAGTTGAATTCAACCTAGGGTTAGATGCTTGATCACCATCCTGACCTATTTAATTGGCTTGTAGAACCGAAAGGGGAGAAGTCGATTGATCTAGGCTCGATTAGAGTAGGCTTGTTCGTGATTGTATTGCCTATGTGTTGTTTGATTGGTTTGATTTACCGTCTATGTTTTCCCTCTTGTTACGAGCAGTTATTGAGGATAATCTCTAGACGTGTAGGTTGATCGAATTATTCAACTGAGCAATCTTAGTTTGGTATTGGCATTGAATTCGAGAGCAATCATCCCTGATTCCCTAGCATTCCCATACTGATAAGTAACTCGTTTTAAGTCATTTATTATCATTCGTTTGCGTTATCTGAGAATTAGTAGTTGATAATTAAAAACCAAAATCATTGAATTAGAGTGTTTAGGAATTTATTTGCTTTTTCGTGTGATTAAATATCCGTACATATAATCCGGCTGACCTTCCTTGAGATACGACCCGGTGTTCGAATCTTTTGATTCTACTCCGGTAAAATAACTACAACAAAATGGCGCCGTTTCCGGGGAAGGTTTAGGACTTATTTTGTGCGCCTATTCATTTTTGTTTTCAGTGTTTCTCTTATTTTTGTGATTTCTTGTTTTGTGTGTTTCTCTTTATTTCGTTTCGTGATTAGTTCTAGTGTTTTTCTTGTTTGTTTTTCTTTGTCTCTTTCCTATCTATCTGGTGCCCGTGACGTTTTTGTTGTTTTTGTTTATGCGTACCAGAAGTGGTCGTGTAATCATCCCGAATAACGAATCCATCCAGAGGGACCTCCAAGAACTGTTGGCTAATCTTGCCCCTGAATCTTCAGACTCAGCCAACCGGGACTCAGATAACCTAAGAGACATGGCTGACGAGGAAGTGAACAACCCACCTCGCCATCTTCTTCGTGAATTGGCTCAACCGATAATCGGGCCAGTAACTTCGTGTATTCGGCTGGGACAAGCAGCTCGAAACTATGAGCTTAAAACCATCCACTATAATCAACTACCGTCCTTCCACGGTCTGCCGAACGAGGACCCGCTTCATTTCATCCGGGAGTTCTACAATGTCCTACAAACTTTTCCACTCCACAACTTAAATGAGGACCAGCTGAAGATGAGGTGTTTCCCCGAGACACTCAAGGACCGAGCTAAGGCTTGGTTTATGACACTTGCTCCCGACTCCCTAATCACTTGGGAGCAAGTGTACACCAAGTTCATTGGGAAATATTACTCTCATCAGAAAACTCAGGAATTTCGGTCCCAGATCGTTTCTTTTGCCCAACAGCCAAACGAACCACTCATGAAGCATGGGAGCGTTTCAAAGACCTCCAGAGGCAGTGCCCACACCACAACTTCCCTCCGGCCCTACTGGTGAACAGTTTCTATGACTCCCTCCATCAGAATCTTCAATACATGGTGGATAATGCAGCTGGTGGAGATATTGGGGCGAAGACGGCAGAAGAGATGATAGATATTTTTGAGGCGATGAGTTCTAACTCGTCTCAAAAGAGCAGTCGAGGGAAGAGGACTTTTGTGAATGAAGTATCTCCAGGACGAGACATGATGGCACAACAGCTAGCCGAGCTCACAGAGCAGATGCGGCTACTGAACGCAAGGGGAGGCCAACCAATGCAGACCATGGCCGTAGAAGCGTGTGGAGCATGTGGAGTACAAGGGCACAGGTCAGAGGTGTGCCCATCAGCTTTCGATCAAGATTATGGGGAACAATACGAAGATGTCAATGCTCTTCAAGGCTACCAGAACCGGCCGGCCAACGACCCATACTCAAACACGTATAACCTGGGGTGGAGAAATCACCCAAATCTCTCGTGGTCTAACAACAACAACATCCAGCAGCCTCCTCGGCAGAATTTCATGCAGCAACAGCCTCGACCCACCTTTATTCCCCAACAGCAGATGAGGCCAAACTACCCTCAACAGCAGCATCAGCAACAGCAGAGGAGCCCAATGGGAGGAATGCAAGCACAAGGGGCCGGACCCAGTTCAGCAATTCAAGACGACAAGCTGGACAAAATTCTCCAGTTTATGGCAAACAGTGAGCAAAGGGGCGTGAACACGGATGCCTCTATCAAACGCCTCGAAACACAGTTGGGCCAACTTGCTACGAGAGTGGGGAACATGGAGGCCGACTCAGACAAGGGGAAGTTGCCGAGCCAACCTAAGGAAGCCAAAGCCATAACGGTGTTGAGAAGCGGGAAGGAGGTAGACAACCACGTGAAAATGCCCGAGCCTGCCATTCTTACACCAACCAACCAGCCCAAAGGAGTAGAGGAGAGCCCGAAGAAGGATACAGAAGTTGAGCCCGGGAAGCACACAGATGGCCCGATGTTACACAAGTCACCAAACCCTTTCAAACCAAGCATACCCTTCCCAAGCCGACTCCGGGATGAGAAGCAGGAGCAGCAATTTCGGGACCTATACAACATGCTCTCGAAGGTCAACGTCAATCTGCCACTCCTGGACGTGATCAAGAATATGCCGTCGTACGTGAAGTTCTTCAAAGACCTAGTGACGAAGAAGAGGAAATTTGGAGACGGGGAGAAGGTAGTGGTTTACGAGGCTGCAAGTGCTATGCAGCATGACCTTCCAAAGAAAGAACGAGATCCCGAAGGCTTCGTGATTCAAATAGCCCTCGGAAACGGAAAGGAGGCTTCAGGGATGCTGGACCTTGGAGCAGGGATCAACCTCATGCCGTTCTCTATCTTTCAGCGGCTCGGCTTAGGAGACTTGAGGCCAACCCGCATGTGCCTTCAGCTCGCTGACCGTTCGATCAGATACCCCAAGGGGGTAGTTGAGGATGTCCTTGTTCGTGTCGGGAAGCTCATTGTCCCGGTAGATTTTGTCGTTTTGGATGTGGGGGATGTCCACGAAAATGGGAAGGATCATACTATCCTTCTCGGCAGACCGTTTATGGCCACCACTAACACCCTCATTGATGTCAAGAACGGAACCCTGAACATGACCGTCTTGGGCGAGTCCGTTTCCATTTCAGTCCGAGAAGCCACATCTGCATCCTCAGTGAACTTTGTGGAGGAGTGCGCCTTCGTTGATATAACCGACCCGTTTGTGGAGGCGACGACTATACGTGACTATGAAGAGAGGACAATGCCCGATCTAGACGATGAAGGAGAGCCAACCATCGAGCTTTTTGCAGCCGACGAGTCCCACACACCGACTACACCCACTCTAGAGCTCAAGGAACTACCCCGCCACCTCAAATATGTTTTCCTTGATGACGAGAAGCAAAAGCCAGTCATCATCTTTACCGAGCTTAACCGGGAAGAGGAGAATGAGCTAATTGAGGTGCTGAAGAAGAATCAGAAGGCCATTGGGTGGGGCCTCGGAGACATAAAAGGCATCAGCCCCTCCACATGCATGCACCGGATCATCCTAGAGGACGGTGCCAAGCCATTTCGGGATAGCCAGCGGTGGCTCAACCCGAATATGATGGAAGTAGTGAAGAAGGAGGTGCTCAAGCTCTACTCAGAAGGGCTCATTTACCCAGTGGCAGATAGCGAGTGGGTTAGCCCGATCCATGTGGTACCCAAGAAGGGAGGTATCACGGTCATAGAAAATAAGAAGAAGGAGATGGTCCCCACCCGAATCACTACCGGGTGGAGAATGTGTATAGATTACCGTCGCCTCAATGCTGTGACCAAGAAGGACCATTTCCCGTTGCCGTTCATCGATCAGATTCTCGACCGTCTCTCGGGCCATCAGTTCTACTGTTTCTTAGACGGACTCTCAGGCTACTATCAAGTAGCCATAGCGCCAGAGGACCAGCCTAAGACGACTTTCACGTGCCCATTCGGCACCTTCGCCTTCAGACGTATGCCCTTTGGCCTGTGCAATGCTCCCGGGACCTTCCAACGGTGCATGTTCTCCATATTCTCCGACATGCTCGAGGACTGCCTCCAGGTATTTATGGATGACTTCTCTATTTTTGGTACTTCATTTTCTGATTGTCTCCATAATTTATCTCGTGTGCTTGAAAGGTGTATTGAGTCTAATTTGACCTTGAGTTGGGAGAAGAGTCATTTTATGGTGACTAGTGGAGTTGTGTTAGGCCATGTGGTGTCTAATCGTGGTATTGAGGTTGATAAGGCTAAGATTGATGTTATTGAAAAACTCCCTCCTCTTGTGAATGTGAAGGGAGTTAAAAGCTTTTTGGGTCATGCTGGCTTCTATAGGTGATTTATTAAAGATTTTTCGAAAATAAGCCAGCCTTTGTGTCACTTGCTTGCCAATGATGTACCTTTTGTGTTTGATGATGCTTGTGTGGATGCCTTTGATAAATTGAAAAATAAGCTAGTAACTGCACCCATCGTGATTGCCCCTGATTGGTCGTTGCCTTTTGAGATTATGTGTGATGCTTCAAACCTTGCTGTTGGAGCCGTCTTAGGTCAACGAGTTGATAAGTTACTCCGTGTAATTTATTATGCTAGTTTGACCTTAAACGGTGCCCAATTGAACTACACTACCACTGAAAAAGAGTTTTTGGCAGTAATTTTTTCTCTTGAAAAGTTTAGATCTTACATTTTAGGATCTAAAGTGATTGTCCATTCTGACCATGCTGCACTGAGGTATCTTTTGAGTAAGACCCAATCGAAACCTAGACTCATTCGGTGGATTTTATTGTTGCAAGAGTTTGATGTAGAAATTCGCGATAGGAAGGGTTGTGAGAATGTTGTTGCTGATCACTTGTCTCGCATTGTTCCTTCTGACTCTTCGCTTACACTGCATGAACATGTTGGTATAAATGATTACTTTCCCTATGAGCATGCTAGTGAAGTGACTACAATTCCTTGGTATGCAGACATTGTGAATTACTTGTCATGTGGAATATTGTTGTCTAACTTCTCTTCCCAAGAGAGGAAACGCTTTGTCTCTGTGTGTAGGAATTACTTTTGGGATGAGCCGTTTCTATTCAAGATGGGGAAGGACGAGGTGCTTAGGAGATGTGTACCGGAAGAGGAGCAATTTGATGTCCTCACGTTCTGCCACAAGTTCCATTGTGGAGGCCACTTTGGCGGCCAGAAAACCGCCTTCAAGATTCTACAGTCAGGTTTGTTTTGGCCTACCCTTTTTAAAGATGCTCATACATTCTGCCGTTCGTGTGATAGATGCCAAAGAACTGGGAATATAGGTCGCAGAAATGAAATGCCCTTGTCTAATAACCTTCAAGTAGAAATTTTCGACGTCTGGGGCATTGATTTTATGGGACCATTTCCTAAGTCTAGTGGCTATGAGTATATTTTACTTGCTGTAGATTACGTGTCTAAGTGGGTTGAGGCTATCCCCACAAAGACATGTGATGCTAATGTTGTGATCAAGTTTGTGCAAGGTCACATATTGAGCAGGTTTGGGTTCCCAAGAGCAATTGTGAGTGATGGAGGGAAGCACTTCTGCAACAAGCTTTTTGAAAAACTGATGAAGAAATATTGCATTTCGCACAGAGTAGCTACTCCCTACCATCCACAAACTTCGGGCCAGGCGGAGACGAGCAATAAGCAGATCAAGACCATCTTAGAGAAGACAGTCAGTTCATCACGGAAGGATTGGTCGAGCAGACTTGACGATGCATTATGGGCCCAACGGATGGCGTACAAGGGAGTCTTGGGAATGAGCCCGTTTCGAGTTGTTTATGGAAAATCTTGCCATCTTCCGGTGGAAATTGAGCACAAGGCATTTTGGGGTATCAAGAAGGTGAACTTTGACTTGGATGCAGCTGGAAAGGAGAGGATGCTACAACTCTCGGAACTCGAAGAGTGGAGAAACGAAGCATATGAGAACTCAAAGATCTACAAGGACAAAGTCAAGAAACTCCATGATGCCTCTATTGTTCGAAAAATTCTTGTGCCCGGCATGAAAGTCCTATTATTTAATTCCCGTCTTCGTCTATTCCCGGGAAAGCTCAAGTCTCGGTGGAGCGGCCCTTATGTCATCGATGAAGTTCTATCTCTTGGAGCCGTTCGACTTCGCAATCCGGCGAATAATGAACTGTTTGTGGTGAATGGTCAAAGAGTGAAACCGTATTTTGAAGGAGGATCCGGAATTAAGCATGTCGAGACTGTGGGTCTCGGCGAACCATTATATGTTTGATCACGAGTGTGCCGAGCTCCCGGCGTTAAACCGAGCATCTTTGTACCATTTGTATTTTATGTAAAGCAAATAAATAATGGCAGAAAAATCGAAGAACATAAGCAGCAGGTCAGTTTTTCCTCGTCGCGCCGCGAAGTAGGTCGTGGAGCATCTCACGGGCTTTCAGAAAGTCTGCTTTTCCTCGTCACGCCGTGGAAGCTGTCACGCCGCGGCATGCTCTGAACCCCGCGCCGCGGCACAAGTCGTGGAGTGTGTAGCGAGGCTTCAGAAGGTTCGCTTTTCCTCGTCGCGCCGCGGAGCTCGTCACGTCGCGGCAAGAGGAACTCGTCACGCCGCGGAGGCACCACCTTAACGCCGCGGGATTCTTTCCTTCACGCCGCGGCATGTGTCGCGCGGCGACCGCTCACTTATATAAACGAGGTCTCCGGTCAAACCTTACATTTTCACCCATCTCCCGCACGCTGTGGCGATTTCCGAACCCTACCGTCACCTTCGACATCAAAGCTCGAACCTCCGGCCACCACGCGACCGCCGTCACGCACAGCACCGACGCCTCAAACTCGCGACCTCCAACGTCGTTCGTCCCTCCGCGACCTCCCAATCTCCGGCCAGTCCGTCTCTTCCGGCCATCTTCCTAGCGGGCAAGTGCTCCGAAATCCCAAGAATTTCGATCAACTTTCCAGCCCCGGCTATCCCAATAGCTCAAGGTATAAAAGCTAGCCTAACTCTTGATTGGTTGATTGATTGGGGCGCGCCTGTTTCAATCTCTGTACAAGAATCTCAAATTACTTCTCGCCTACCAAGTGTTCGATCAATTGCCCCAACCGAGTAAGCAGGCCATTGGGTTCGAGTTCATTCCTTTTTATCTCCATTAGCCGAATATGGAAGAACAAAGGCGGCACCGAAGGCTCCTCCCAAAGACACGGGCAAACGCAAGAAGGTAGCAACTCAACCAGATTCATCGAGCGACTCGGACACCTCGAACCACTCCAACGCACACCCAGTGGAGGAAACCAGAACGTTAGCTGAAATTCACGGCGTTCCATTCAAGGTTCTTAATGAAGATGAGGCACTCACGTACAAACGCCTTGCGGCGAAACCATTCCCGAGCTCTCGAGTGCTAGATTGGGAGATATTACAGAGCCTGGGCATAGCCGAAGATGTCAGAAAATATCTGAGGGCTCTTAATTTTGAAAAATACGCGGACGCGAATTTGACCCCCTTCAAAGGCCTTACTATCGAGTTCTTTAGCACGTTAGAGACACACGAAGATATGAAATACCTCACGTGCCGTTTACGAGGAAAAGAACTCAAGATCACCGACAAAGTCCTTTGCGATATCCTCCACTTGAAGACCACGGGTGCGCGTCAAAAGCCCGAGAAATTTGACGTCCATAAGAAGTGGGCTGTTTTATCCCCGTGCAAATCCTTTAACAAACGCGGCGCGTCAGCAGGGTTGATTAAAGATGTGCCCATTGCAATCGTCCACAAATTCCTCACGTGCAACATTTTCGGAAAAACAGAGTGGCACAAAGTCAGCGAGCAGGAGGTGTTTATTCTAAGCGCGATGTGCGAGGGTAGACCTGTGTGCCTTCTACCCTTCTTAAAACAATCCCTTTGGGATACGAGAAACAAGGCGAAAAGTCACCCCACATTGGGGCATGTTGTGAGGGAAATTGCCGATTATTTCAAAGTTCCTCATGATGGTGAACCGAGCACCGCCGCAGTGCGAATTGGTTGGAATGATCTCATGTTGGCCGATCTCGTAACTGGTGGCCGCAAGCTCAAGCACTATTCGGAACGGAAGTGCTATAAAGCTTATCAGGATGGACTGCAGAAAGCTGCAGCGGCAGGCTCATCAGAACAGGCAGTTGGGGAGTCGTCTCATCAGGCACCAGAAGAGTCTACCGAACATACCTTAGGAGATGAACACCAACCTGACCAGCCGGAGTATCATGGCCCTACATTACCCCACGGCGACCCAGACGTTCTACCCCAACAGGCGCCTACGTGGTTCATCGAGTATCAGACGCGTCAAGACGAGTACATGCGCGCCATTCACGCCGAGGTCAGCTCGTGTAATGCGCGAGTGGAGGCAAACATTACTGAAAATGACAGACGTTGGGATCAGTGGAAAGAGCATAGTGAGAAGCATGAGGCCCGTTGGGACAATTGGGAAGCACAGCAGTACGCCAAATGGAAACAATGGGACGATCAGTTCCAGCAGTGGGAAACCCGAGGGAGCTCGAGTTCCGGTCAACCTTCCCTACCTCCACCGCCACACCCGGACACACAGTGACTTGTCACTGTGCCTTGTATGTTTTTCTTTCTCTTTTTCTTTTATTTTGTACAGTTTCTTTGCTTGTCGGTTAATTATATGGTTTAACTTTCCTTCACCGCAAATCGACAATGGGGACATTGTCTGATTTTAAGTGTGGGGGAGTTTTACGTGCTTACGTGACTATGTGGTTGGCCAGGTCTAGTTTTTCTTTTAGGATTGCGTTTATTTCTTTATTTCTTTTCTCNNG